ATCGGCGGCAAACGCATTATTGCCTTGCACTCCACCAACGCCGCCATCTGATAAAGAAATAAACTACACGGAACGCGTAAATAGAGTGAGACAAGCTTACTGATACGCCAACTCGAGTCTGCCACGCGGGAAGGTTGGCGAGAGTGACCGCCAAAGGAGGCGGGGTTGAACCCGTCATCAAATCCGTCCTGGCCGCCGTAAGGGTTGCCGTAGCTGATGGAGCCGCCGTTGGCTCCGGGGCCAGTCTTGTTGACAACGTTGACGCTATGTCTGCGACCGTGCCCGCGTGGGATGCCTTGAGGCTGACCATCAAGTCCCAAATTGAGCGTTCCCAAATTTCCGAACTGGGTGAGGGGGTTCTGAGGGCCTGCGAATCCGCCCGCACCCATGGGAACGGTGCTGTGTACGCGTCTGTGCGCAGGTCCGCGGTTGGGCGCCAGCCCCGGTGTCTGGAAGGACATGACTTGATTAGAAGCCAATTGCTGCTGGTACAGAGCCTGCTGCTGCTGTTGAAGAGCCTCGATCTGGTTCTGCAGCGCGATCTACGATGTGATTAGTTACGCCGCTTTAAGAAAGCCAAAATGAAGCTAAGGCACCTGTTCAGCCATGATGCCGGTGATTTCAGCGCTCTCCGTCTTCCTGTGCTTCGACTCGAGAGGTCCATCGCTCTGGTAGTTGTGCTGCTGCTGGGGAAACTGGAAGTTGGCGTCTTCCTCGTTGATAGGAGGACCCATGGGTCCGCCGCGTTTCCTGTTACCAGCACCCGCCCCGAACATGAAGCCGGGGGCAAGTTGAGGGCGTCCCGTCGGCCCAACAGAATCTACTTGTTCCTGCTGAGCAGCCAGCGCAGCGAAGCGAGGTGCCATGAAGCTCTGCGACTGAGAACGGGCCTGATGCCCAGGCTGCTGGTAATAATTGTCTGGGATCTCGCCCTCCTCGAAAGAGGCGCCACCGGCATCCTCGGCATCCTCGACCATCGAGCCCAAATGGGGAGCAAAGGAGTTGAAGTTGCCAGACAAGCCTGCACCGGCAGACGCGGCCTTGCGATGCTTGGCATCCGCAGCACCGGAGCTCGTGCCCGGGTACGCGGCCGCGCCGGGTTGGAACACAGGAGCGTTCACGGGGAGATTGGAGTGAACTTGAGGCGTGGGCATAGCGAAGTTGTTGTTGACGTTGGGCTGCGGGGACGTCGACTTTAGGTCGGCAATGACACGCTGGAGCGAGGAAAGGGCGTCGCTCGATTCCTTGCTCTGGGTCGGAGCAGGAGAAGACGACTGCTTAGCAGAGCCCTGATCCCTGGGGACGTTATTGTTGTTGTTATTGTTGTTGTTACGTCCTCCTTGGGAAGCAGAGGGCTGCCCTTTACGATGGGCCGGCTGGCGGTTGCCGGTGTTCTGGTTCTTGTTTCGCTGGTCAGGCTTACGACCGCTTTCGGAGCCCTTGCGGGAAGTCGTGTCTGAGCCCGACTCTGGAGCGGGACCACTGGAGGACGGCTTCCGATGTCCCGTGGTCGAGGAAGGTCTCGGAGCACTTTGCGCAGACGAGGCGGTGCCCGCCGGCCTGCCAGAACTCGAAGGGTTCCTCTTGGAACCACGATTGCTGGCAGATGAAGGGGGTTTCTTCTCGTCCTTCTTGGGGGGAGGCTGGGTTTGGGGCGTAACTTCGTCGGTCATATCGTTCGTAACGAGAAAGAGAAGGGTTTTTCGAGTCTTTTTGTGTTTTGAATTTCAGTGTAAAGTGAGTCCTGCTGGCGAGCGATATTGGCTCAGAAATGTCAGGAAAGCAGTCAGCAGACGTGGGCTAACCTGGGAGGTGGATGTGGTGGTTGGACGGGTGTGCCCGGCGAGGGCCTGTGAGGAAAGAGTGCAAGATGGGTTGGGTTGGAGCCTGACGACACAGCTTGGGTTGCTTATCTCGCCGTTAGGTCCCACGGTCATGTGCGGCAGCAGCACGAACTTGAACTATTTCGGGATACTAGTATTCGACGTACGTAGAGTCTGTCTATAACTTATACCAGTATGTACCCCCAATGTATGCAGACCCGCCTTACGCCTTCAATTTTTTAATGATGGCATTGGTATACTCAGTCGTCGAAGCCTTTCCACCAAGGTCACCCGTGATGAATTTGCCTTCCGCGATGGTCTAGCCCAAACATTAGCGTTTCTGCGAGGCGTCCGCAGCTTATGCTTACTGTCAGTGCCGCCTTCTCGATCTTCTCGGCATAATCGAACAGGTTCATGTGTCTACAATTGAGCTGCGTTAGGATGCGCTCCAAGACGAGATGGATCGACGAACCGCAACATCATGAGAGAAGACAGCAGCAGCGCAGTGGGATTAGCGAGCCCCTTGCCTGCTTTGGAGTAAATGCGCCGCCTAAAGTCTACACAGGAGGTTACGTACCGGCAATATCCGGTGCTGAGCCGTGCACGGCCTCGAAAATGGACGCGTCCTGCAGCAGGGAGGAGAGGGGTGAGTGGAGGTTGAATACAGGATGGGAGCCAAGCTTACACGTCCAATATTTCCGGACGGTGTTAGTCCCAGTCCTCCAATAAGCCCGGCGCACATGTCCGACAGGATATCGCCGTACAAGTTGGGCATAACCATAACCCGGTCAGAGTACGGCTTGGGGTTCTGCACTATCTGCAGACAGACACGGTCGAGCAGGTCCTCGTCGTATGATACGCCAGGGAACTCTTTCGAGACCTCGCGGCAGGCGGACAAGAACATGCCGTCTGACATTTTCCTGATAATTATAAATTTGGATTAGAATGGGCAGAAGTTACGCGGCGCACGCACATAATGTTAGCCTTGTGGACAGCGGTGACACGCTTGCGCCCACTGGTCTGCGCGTAGTTGAAGGCGTAACGCGCAACCCGCTCGGAGGCGTCCCATGTGATCAGCTTGATAGACTGGACTACACCGTCGACGATCTGCTTTCCGTGAGCAGAGGCGGTATTGGGCCACAACGCGAGCGCACCTCGTGCTCGATACCAGAGTACTCTCCCTCTGTATTTTCACGGATCAACACCGTGTTCACGTCGTCGTACGGGGTCTTGAAACCCTGGATCGAAACACACGGCCGGACATTCGCGAACAGGTTGAATGTGCGACGGAGCGTCAAGTTGAGCGAGACGTGGCCCTTTCCGACTACAAGAGTTTAAATGGTGCCCAAAGCAAGTCGGGCTTGATGCTTACTCGGGGTCGCCAAAGGACCTGTAAAAAAAAGATGAGGACGGACTATAGCGCATCAATATCATACGCACCTTTCAACGCCACAGTGTTCTTTTTGACAGAGTTGATAGCGAGGTCGGGAATGACGGTCTTGCCTCCCTTGAGGATAGGCGTCACGCTGACCTCCTCCCACTGAATGGGAACCTGCGCAGAGTATTAACGGGCGACAAGAGAGATTGGTCCGGCGTGCGTACTTGAGCAGCAACGTAGATATCCTTGATGGCCTCGCTAATCTCGGGTCCGATACCTGGCAAAGGCAGCGTTGGTTACAGGGAGCAGTGGACTCGAAAAAACATGGCGGACCGTCTCCGGGAATCAAAGTAACAGTGTATTTGCCCTTGAGAATGTCAGCGCGGAGGAAGATGCACGATCCGGGCACAACTCACATTGCTGTCTTTCTTACCAGCGAAAGCAGCGGTCGGAGCGGCGGAAGCGTATCTTCGGAAGGCCTGAAAATTGTCGGGTTAGCGCCGGATTGCCAGCGGAGTGCTCCGGGACTGACTGAGGGCGCGCGGGCGATACCAGCAAGGGGCCTGCTCAACATGGTGGTACAGGATCAAAAAGTAGAAAAGTAAAGAGATGAACCCGCTTTGATCCCGGGCCCGGCGCGAGCATGTGCATCGTTTACCCGGTCGCGGCCAAACCAAAAAATATAGATGCTGTAACTGTAGTGGTATTACTCCTAACTTACATGGTCCCGTCTCCATTACAACAGATAAACACGACACAGATCACCCGCTGAGCAGCCCGTTCAGTTGTTGACGATACTTCTCCATCGTCCGCTCCGTCTCTTCCTCTTCCAGTCTGTCTTGTAGTGACTGCGAAAGATGAGCAATGCGGAATAGACAGCTGAGCAGCACTCACGGGAAGTTCTGTGCCGGCAGAGCCAGCAAGACCCAGCTTGCCGTCCGTTAATTCAGCAAGGACCTTGTCCACCTCCGCGTCCGCCTCATCCAGTAACTCGTCGTCCTCCTCCATGTCTAGCGTGTCCTCCAGCATCTCCTCCATAATCCCAGCCTGGTTTCTATAAGAAGACGGCCGTGACGCGAGACAGATCAGCATACCTTGGTCATTTCCATGCTCATCTCCCGCATTGTCTGGCTAATTTGAGGTAATTTGATCAGCGAGTTTGAGAGTTTCATGATTTCGGTCGATTTCTGCAACGAGCCCGTTACTTTGATCATCGCTGCAAGCATGGCATGTAGCAGTTGAGCACACTGGCCACAGAGACAGCGCGGTATGGTAACTCACCCATTTGCTGTTGCAGCTGGGTTCCGATGGACCCTAGGCGCGCCTTGCTGACGGACAACCGGTCCTTCTGTTTGTCGCTCCGCACAACCTCCCGCGCTAGTATCCGCGCCGACTTGACGTCCCCCCGAGCGGCATGTTGCTTCACGGTCTGCCTTGCCTGTTTCGTTGCTTTATCGAGCTAAGAACATATTTTATTCGATCGGCCGGGAACCTGGGCGAAGCCTAATCGAACCTCCCTCATTTCACGGTCAAGATGGCGGGATTCTGTCCGTAGCTTGAGCTGCCACGCGCGCACCTTCTCCTCGGGCGTCGGTCCATAAAGGAAACGATTAATAGACTGCATCCAAGCGCGACGAGAGGGATTGTGAGAGAGTAAAGAGCTCAGCCACCAAAGCACAGTCGAGAGTTAAAGAGTCCGTATAGGCGATGTTGTTGGTTGTTGATACGGGATTACGAGAGATGGTCTCGTCTGCGTAATGGTCACTAGCTAGGTTGCCTGGACAACTCAGTATATCATCGGTTGTGTAGTGTAGCGGTTATCACTCCAGATTCTGACCGAGTGACTTCTGGCGACCCCGGTTCGATTCCGGGCACGACCTCTTTTGCTGCGTTCCGCCTTGCCTTCCGCTTTTTTATTTGCTGTACACATGTACTTGGCACTCACCAACGCACAAATAACTGTTGCTTCCACACCCTTCACAGACTGTTTACAAGATTGCTAATGCTGCTACCCACAATGTTCACCGATGTGCCTTGCATTCATTCCTGTTTTCCTTGGCCATGTGTCCCACGATTCAACCACCAGATTCCTCCGTTAAGATATGTGGCAAAAGAAAGCCAGGCACAGTACGGCAGGAGCAGGTACGCCGCAGTGGGTGAGCTCGAAGCAAGCAATTTCTAGAATATTAGTGAGCATTTGCACTTGACAAAGATATGTTGTTTTTACTGTCATGTAAAATGTTGCTCCTGCCATCATAACACTGTCGACCAGTGCATATCCAATCTGCAATTCTTTCAATTAGAATAGGCTGAGACGGTTGACAAAAATTTCTGCCTTCTTGGCACCGAAGAATAAGGGTGTCCACAGAATGTTCAGGGCCAGTTGCGAATAGTACAAGGAAAGTGCAAGCATGCAGTCAGATCTCGTTGACCAAGGTTAGAATGTCGTTTGGGACGAGGAGAAGGCATATACTTGACAGATGCAGAAAGAGTTCCGTCAAGACTCTTCACGGCAAGATGAGACGCATATCCCATAGCTAAAGTGTCGTTCGGACGAAATTGAGCCGTGTCGGGGAGAAAGACGCGTACAGATGTACAGTATAGGCCAGACGATAGGGAATACCTGGCGCGGGGGACGACCAGGCGGAGTGCGTAAGTTCTGAGGTAGCCTTCAACTCCGTGGCTTCAAGGCAATTCAAGACGGCGCGACATACCTTATACCAGTCAGTTCGGACAACTTTGGCCGTAGGATAGCCACTAAGGAGACCGAGTCCCAAGGGCAGCCCTACAGCCAGGAGCGGGATTCGTGCAGCTGCCAAAAGAAAGCCAGGGAGATGGAATTCGGAAGAGGACATGGCGGCAGGAAGAGCAAGCACTGAACGCGTAATGACATCGCTCGAGGCAGGGATCGAATCGCGCTTTTGATGGCCTTGCTCGGATTATCCCGCGGAGCAGGTCTTTCGAAGTGCTGTACAACGAGACGAGTTGCATGCACGCACGACGAGAAAAGCGCGCAATGGGAAAGGCACGCGTACTCGACAAAAAGTTTCCAAGTCAAGAACGGTCGAGTGGTCGAGAGCAATTACGGAAGACCAAAAAAAGCGACACATGGATTGTGGTGATAGAAGTACATGAAGCATTTTTTAGATACTAGCTATAGATCGCGTATGCTACAATGCATGCAACTGCGATGCGGAGGATAACAACATGTTAGTACATTAGCTGGAGAACAAGGGTCAGCGAATGCGAGGCAAGGGAAAAGGCAAGCAAAACACACCTGAAATACATGAGTGTCGATTGCGAGGCGTGCAATGGCTTGAAGCCGCGCTTGAAGGCCTCGAGGGTGCTGGCGGCCTGCCCTTCGTCGACCTGGGTCGCGGAGTCGCTGAAGTCAACGGTCCCCTGGGGGTCGTAGTGGTTCTTGGCCCTGGAGCAGACAATGTCCGCGTCTGAGAGGAGTTGAGCGAACGCAAAAAAAAAAGGAGAACGAGTTGTTACGCACAGTACACAGGGGCGGGGATCGACACCGAGCGCGTAGAGCGGGCGTACACGTGGCACAACGCAAACGACAAGGACTGCAGCGCGTCGGCACTGGAGGAAAATCGTCAGTAGGCACGGATTTACTACGAAGGCTGGCGGTACGGACCTAAAGTTGTTTTCCTGTCGCCAAAAAAATGAGTTGCGGCGTCTTGAGAGATAGAGGAAGAGACGCACATCGTAGAGCACTGAATAGTGCGCAGGACGACTCGTGCCGAGCAACCCTCCGTGCGCCTGGAGATAAAAGTCGAACTCGGTGGGATGAGCGACGTCGCGGTCGACGACCGTCCCCGCCCTGCAGTTGCCGCTGCGGTCCGCGTCGCGCTCGCTCTGCGGGAAGAACCTGGAAAGGGAGGAGTCAATGATGGATACAACGGAGATGGGCAGACATACCGAACGTGGTGGCGCTGCGATGAAGAGAGTCAGCGGATGAAATCGATGAGTGCTATGAACATACCTTGCCCACGACGAGGATCGTGATTTTGGGATCAATCTTGAGGGACGCGCAAGCCTCTGCGGACGAATGAGTGAAACAATCAAGAGGAGGAAGGTATGATGAGCAGACTCTTGATGAGCGGCAGTTCTGCGCTAACAGTCAGCATAAGTAGGCGGACATCGATGGGTGCTAACCTTGCTCGAGAACCTGTTTGAACTGGCCCTCGGAAACACCGTCTGCACAGAATGAGCGCACAGATAACGAGGGTTTCGGAGAGTAACGTACCCCGATAGAAGATGATGCGCTTCGGAGCCGTGGTCCCAGCCGCCTTCCTCTCCGCCATCTCGCGATACCTACAACAAGATGTCAACGGACTTGAAGGTGATAAAAGCTGGCCGGCGTACCTCATGTACATGGAGAGGCAGTGGTGGCTCATCGACTCGAGCTCCTCTATCATCTCCTGGCGAGAAGTCTGGACGCGGCTAGCAGCAATATACTTGGCCGTGTCCGAGTCGACGTTGGCGACCAGAGCGGTGAAAGAAGGACGGCCATCTGAGCCAGGAGCGGGGTGAATAACCTGGAAACAAAAGTCAGCCGAAGGGTCAGCGAGGAAGGGGAGGAACACAAACGTCGGCTGGAAATTGGTAAAATGTCGATTCGTCAGTGACCCGTAAATGAAGTGAAAGGAAGACAGACCGCCTGCGAGGTATCATTAGTAACGGTTCACGCCAATGTAAAAGGAAAAGACGCACCCATTACGATGGTAGGGTTGTGTGGGTCTGGCCATGCGGTGTCAGTATCCCGCGGCAGGAGCAGCACAACGGTCACGTACCGGTCAGGACGCTGACGGAGGAGGGGTCTATTGGGATGAGCTCAGTATTCTTTCCAGTAAAAAGTAGCACACAAGCCCACCAGGAATGGTGTTGATTCCACCGAGCTTCACGTTGATCCTAGGAAAGAGTCAGCTGGCAAATAGCAGAGGGTAGTCGCAACGCACTTGAGACAGACGTTCGCATAATACTGCGGCTTGGCGCGGAAGCACTTGCTCGACTTGAGGCACTGTGTTGCGACGCCCATCGTGATGTCGCCGAAGCTGGGAACCAGTCAGCGCAGAAAATAAGAACAACAGAGAAACACGCACTGCTTCACGGACGCTAGCGAGATGATAGATGAGCACGACAGGAGAAAAGAAGACGCAACAGGGAACGCACTGTAGATGTCGTTGCCGCCCTGGAGATGTTCGGTCAGTGCGAGCAGCTGGACAAGTGTTCAAGTCGTACCTCTGGCAAGATGATGACCATGAGGTTGGGGCCCTTCCCCGTCTTCGCGGCGCACGCGGCACCGGCGGCTTTGAGCTGGTCGGCGATGCGCCCTTGACCGTTCTCCCAAAAGATGAACGGGGTTGGGGCGAGCTTGATGCCTGGTGTGCCGATTGAGCGTGCGTTGAAGAGGCAGGAGGGTCGAACATACCGACGTCGCGACAACTGCCGCACAAGCCGTTGATCATGTCGTTGGCGGCGCCTTCGTTGAATCTCCGCTGCTGCTCGTAAACGACGACAACCCAACGGTCGATGGCCACAGGCTTGAAGAACTTCTTGTCGACCATGTTCCAGGCGCCGTCCCGAGGAGTGATGGTCAATTGACGAGAGCCGGCGCCGTACTTGAGCATCGGCGGCTTCAGGACCCGTGCTTGGACCTGGAGCGGGCCAGTGGACTTGACGTCCATCCCGAATTGCCGAACATACTCGGACTGGCCGTACGCGAGCACCTGGAGAAGCGTCAGGATCACGAGACAGCCTCCGGGGAACGAAGCGTACCTGGAGGCCATTGACAATAGACTTGAGACGGTCCGCAGGCTTCTTGGTGGCAAAGTCCAATCTAACAAGGGATCGTGAGCGTCTGAGAGCACCAACAGCAAGCGACATACACGTCTTTAGTCTTTTCGGGGGGAACTTGCTTGCGCATCAACTGGCCCGGAGGCACAACGCACAACTCCAAGGGAATCAAGGCGCCAGATCCAACCTTGGCCAGTGATGAGACAATATTACTTGAAGAGAGAAGAACCACACCTCGCAACAAATCACGTCAGGGAATTGCAGAGGCTTGTTTTGGGTGCTCTGGAAATATTCGGCGACGGTCATGGTCTGTCCCTCGCGCATTTGGAAGGTAAGAGAAGAGGCGCCGGCCGTGCTGAGCTTCTTGATCACACGAGGCGTCTGGATCTCGCCGTTGGGCCCCGCGTGAGTGGTGAGGACGCGGATGCCGCCGATGAAACGCTGGAGGCGCAGGCGTTCACGATCAGGGAAGCCGCGTTTGGGCGAAAGCGCGTTGGGGTCGTTTTTGCCGATGTACTCGAGGCAAAGACGCAGAAGAGGACCCTGGTGCAAAGAAAGAGGTTAGCGAAGGAGATTTGAGAGATGAACGGGTGACTTGCGTGCTTGTACATGGTGCCGGTGGAGATGTCGACGTCTATGTCAGTCAATGAGAAAAGAATAAAAAAGGAAACAAAAGAGGGACGGACTGATCAGCATTTTGCCCATTGCCGGACGAATGGATTGGAAGTACCCGCGCCCTGGTCGATAAGTTAGCGATGGAGGAAAAGAAGCGAAAAAGTATGGGACTTGCAGAGTTCGAGGCCAGCGCCAATATCTTTGGTCTCGCGGTTGGTGAAAAAGGAGCGGACATTAAACGGGTAGTTGAGCGTAGGTTCCATGCGAATCACGACGTTGAGCGCCTGGATTGAGGGCGAATGGTGAATATCACCATCGAATCGGAAAGGAAATGAAACAGACGGTGATGGCAGTCAGAACGGTATTGTCGTGGGACTGGTCGCCCGCAATGAACCGCTTCAAGACCTCGGGGTTGATTTGCGCGACGAGGGTGAGCTTGATTTTGTAGACTTTGGGG